AAATTGCTTGTAAGCAACAAAGGAAGGGAGATGACCCTCTATCAATGTATTCAGCTAAACAAGGAATAAAATTCACGGAATAAAATTCACAAGTTGAAATCAGACTATGGTTTTCAAAATATTCTGTATTGTTTAGTGACATTTTAAATTGAATTAATATGTAATAAAGATTATAATAAAAGCAGTAACAAAGGGCTTTGTGTAAGAAAAAAGTTATGTGAAAAAATGAGAAAATTGAATTGAAGCCAAAAGTTCAAGCCATATTACGATATAAATCTGCATTAATTTGCATTAATCTAATATTTTAGAATTTAATTCTTAATTCATAATGATGTCAGTGGTGATCAAACTACAGAAACCTTACAATATTATTTTTTTTAATGAATTGCTTTTTCATATATTAAGTTACCAACTTAAGATATAGAAATAATTATGTTTTTGACTTTCAGACCATACTATAAAAATCCATACCAGTCACTTTAAGGGTTTATAAAAAAAAAACATGGAACAAAATTAATTTTATACTTATAATTGTATTATACTTTCTTAAAATTAATTAGGTATCTGTTAATTTTTGGAAAAATAATTTCTCAAAATGTTAAGATGAAGCAGTTTTACTTGCCAATATATGAAAATTATTTAGCTTGGAGCTTAAAAGAAGTGTAAAATGAATAACAAAACTGTAAATATACAAAATGAAAGTATAAAATAGAAGAAGAGAAAAATAGAAAATCTATATTATTCAATATTTTTTTTCAATTCAATGACAATATATTTAAGTGAACAAACTAACTCAAACAGTGAATTAATAAAATAAGTATTAGGATAGGTAAAGAAAAAGGTAGTGTTCATTAATATTCTATAATTGTGCTGCTTATCATGTATACACAAGAATAGAATGATAATGATAATAATTTAATCAACACAGTGAGCATATTATACATGAAATATAAAAAAAATTAAATAAAATGATTATTAAGTTAAAGCCCAATACTACCTTTTCTAGTAGATTTTGGTTTTTTTAATCAAACTGTTAGTTGTTTGAAATAAATGAAAAAATAATGATAAATAGCTCTCAAAAAAAAATCAGCTAATTTTTATCATATTATTGCACCTATTGTAATTAGTAAAATAAGGTACTACCAAATATTATAATTTTAAAAATACATTAAGAAACAAAGGAATAACCTTCATTCAGTCATTTAGCAGAATCAATGCTAATCATGATTTATTATTAATTTACTTTTTCATGGAATAAAATAGTGATATTTCTTTTGTGTATTTTTTTAAAATTTTTATGCACTGTATTCTTTTGCGATGATGGCATCAATGATCAGCTTTGCAGTCTCATTAATACTGTTACTGTTGGGTTAAACAGTAGCGTATTTAGGGGAGGGCACAGGGGTGCGCACAGCACCCCCCCCCCCAAATATTACTCACGTCCACCCCAAAGTCGTCCCCCCCCCAAAAAAAAATTATCACGGTCAAGTAGTTAATTAAAAATCACCTAAAATCACCATAATTTGCGAATTAGCGCCCCTCAACTGATCATCGAGCCCCCCTCCCCACTTCACCTTCGCGCACCACCTTCCCAGCACCCCATTTCAAGACTTCTAGATACGCCGCTGCAGTAAAATACTGGAAGCATTGCACTTTCCACTGGGGAATATTTAGGGATTATATTAAGACAATGTTCATGGTTGATACACAATTGTTTCCCACCTGATTATGAAATAAAACAGTTAAAAAAAACTATTAGTTACAAACAGATACCAAGTTTTTATTGTTTGGGTCTAAGTGCTATGAATTTAATGTTTATTAAAGCAACAATGTTTATGGTACATTACAGCTAATTACAGAAGCTATCTGTAGTTAAAATAATACAAGTGACACTGTAGAATGGCACTTTAATTCTTAGGCCACACAGGCCAATGACTGCTAGCGAATAGATCATCCTACTGTAAGCAGAAGTTCCTTTACGCTGACAATTCAGACATAACATTGCAGACACAGAGGTAGTAAATTAGTCAGTATATATTCACCACTCTTTACACATTTTTGCACTAAGTTTTATTTAGTTTCTTCTGGGGCAAACACCTATTGGCTATTGGTTGTAATTAACAGACCGTAGAGTGGGTAATGTGGTGAATCTGTTTTAAAATGGGCCTTGATCTAGCGTCAGTGGTGGCGCCAGGAAGGGGGTGGGGGACTGGAGATAGAGCCTAGTCAGGGAAAAAGAGAAAGCTTCGTCAGGAAATAAAGATTAATTATGAAAAAAAAATATCATTAATCTAAAACTGATTGGATTTTATTCTGATTGTGGAAGTAACCTCAACTTTGGACATTACAACAAGTCATATTTCAATAGCTTAATGCCTATCAAATAATAAAATTCACCAAAATATGTCAAATATCCATGGTTTCCATGGGGGGCCCCTAGCAGCCCTCATGCCCCAGTCTAGCACCCCCCACCCCTTTGTCACGCAGACTGCCACCAACATTCAGCATCTTAAAACAGTTTCACTACACAACAGTTGTCCGACAGTGGCCAAGGCTGTGCGAGTCACCTTCTTTTTATGTGCTCATTGATAATTAAACAAGAGAAATATAAACGATGTTCAATAGTTTACATTTTATTTCTGTTTGGTTTAGTTTTGTATCATACATACATGGTGCAACACTCTTCAGATAAAACTGCCTAATAACTAAGATAAAAAATTAGCAGATTAATTAATGGTAAATAGTTCAACTGTAAACCGTCTTGCGTTAATGCTATAAATTATAAATTCTGAACATTATATGTAATATTAAATAATACATCTTTCTGCATTTTTTGTACTTAAAATCCAATAATGTACGAGCCATTGTAGGAGTGAGAAAAAATACTCCTGAAAAGAGGCAGGTTTAATATCTCCATTTACAGTCTTTAAAATATTAACAATACTTTAATAGTATGCTACTAAATCTTTCCATTGAATTGATAAAGAGCATTTAATATTACCTTATATTGTCATATTGTCAAGATTTGGAAATTATTACGAAAATATCAAGGCTTTATATATTTAATTGTGTATAATCACTGCTGATGAATATGTCTGCCAAACCATTACCATTGCTAGATTTCCAAATTACCATGATATCTTCTCAATACCAATACTAATAAAAATGATTATAAAATAGCATTGACTTCTACGGGACAGTTTGCAAGCTTAAATTAATTAGTTGCAGCACAATATGAATCAGTTCAACGTTTCTGTTTCTTCAGATAGAAAGTAACAAAACAAGAACTGAATCAAGGATAGGCTGACTAATGAAAGGGAATACAATGTACTAAAGTGTTTTACAAATTAGTGAATATAATTTAAAAACCAGATACTTGGTCATTATAAAGACTCAAATAAAAGCTAAATAACTGGTTCTGTTCATTTCAAAAGTATAATTGATCAAAACTATTCTACTGTAAGTATGACTCAATTTTCATTCAAATTTAATAATGAATAAGATATGAAACAGAAAATTTCTAATGTGTTCAGTTCATTTTTTTTTTCTAAAACTGAAAACATTCATTTGCTGAAGTAGATTTTAAAATATAACCTATCATCTAACAGATAAATTAATTTAATTCATATATTTTTTTATTAGTTATTTATTAAATGAATATTAAACATCATCATCCTCATTATTAAAATTAATTCATGAAATTTCTTTCTTACCAATCATTTATAAAGTTTTCTTTGACAAATAACTGTTGTACAGTATGTCTATACATAGTGAATATTTTACCGGAAAACTAATTGGCCTCATACCTAATTCACAAGACAAAAAATTTACTAAAAATTAAGAGATACATCTGGTCCGACATTTAGCAAGCGACGTTCTTTGCTTTCACACGACTTACTACAAGTCTTGGAAAATCGGTACAATTGATACACGCAAGAAATGAATATACGCAGCACCAATGCGGAAGATAGGCTGCGCCCCATTACCGTGCCCACAGATCCTTGCTAAATATTTTGGGAACCTCCTTGAGGTCTGTATTGTTTACCAAGATGCCCTTGGTATTCTTACAGGAATACTGTATGCGTTCTCATGACCTCATTGGTAAAATTTGTAATTATTATTACAGTATATTAGTATACAGTTGAACTTGCCTAAGTGGAATCCAAAATGACATAGAAACATTGTTCGACTTATATAAAATTCAACTAAGAGATTGTAAGTTAATGGAAAACACAAATATTTGACATGTAAAATAAGATCAACTTATAAATTATTCGAGGTAGGCAAAGTTTAACTATATATCTGTTGTGTGAATCCAGTATTAGGGCAGAGAGAACAAAAATGGTTAGATTATCACTTCCTCCTTCGTAAAAATGTTGTGAAATATTGACGCTGTGTACTCATTAGAATGATAATCTAAGGATTTTTTTTCTATCTGCAAATGAGAGCTAGAAGAATTTATATAGATTGGAAGCAGGTTTCAGTACTCTTGCATTATATATATAAAAAAAAACAAAAAAAAACGTATTGTATTAGAAAAACAAATTAACATTGTATGTAATAAGAAAGAAAATTATTGACAGTTAATAAGATACTGTAAATGAGCCAATCAAAGTGTTTTAACCTGTAGGCCTATTTATATAATATTCACCACCTGTACATAATATTATTAAGTAACTTTTAGTGTGACTGCTTTCAGATTATGACGCTTTACATTCATATAATTTTTTTAATTCTAAAAATAAATGTCTATGTATTGCACAATAACTTTACTGAAGTATCCAACTACAATCAAAACCGGCAAAAACGTGACTCAACATTCCCCTGAAATTTTTAGACCTTGATAATCTTCTTTGATTAAAAATTAGGTCACCGATAACGAGCAACGTAATGCAATCAGCCGGTTATAACAACTCCATACAACCTGCGCACCTCAAAATTGCACAGATGAAACGGTAGACTCTCGCAATCATTTCCATTATTCTTACAAATCGGGCATGTGAAAATCTTGCATTCAGAACAATGGTCTGAACTCTGGGAATACTTCAATAACAGGTCTTTGTAGACAATAGGTCTTCTGCCGGGGAGATCTTTGACTTTGGGTGCACAACCGGACCTGTAATAGGGTGCATAAGGCCTTTCATCATCCCCGAAACAAAATTACACGCAAGACATCTAAAACTATTCAGCATGGGCTGTCTTTGTAACTAATTCTGTTTTTCTAGCCTTAGTTTGCATTATTGTTCCAAACTGAGCGTAAGTAATTCCTATAAAAGATATTCACGGAAGCTAGGACTTACACGCACGAACGAAGCTTCTTTAATCGACTTCAAAGTATATCAACCTGTCAAGTTTCCTGGTTAATCTTTTCATAATTTGTTTTCTGTGTCAAATATAAAATAATATGCCATTCATATAGTACATATAGTACTCAGACTGTGTTAAAAAATTTGAAATATGGTATAAGTAGATGCTCAGCCCTCAAATACCAAATTACTAGGTTCAATCCCATTCTCTATAGGCTTACTACCTCCAAAATATTCTCTTTCACTAGCCCTTCAATGAAATAGATATCTCACTTTCTCATATTTATTATTTTTGTATTTACTATTTGCATATATATTACTCTGTACTTTTCCATCCATAGCCTTATAAAGTAATTTTTAATTGTATTTTTAATATTATACTTATATTATATGTACAGTTTAGTATGTACATACCTGCACATTTTGTCAGTGCTTGTGTAGATGTGTGCTTCACATTTATTTAATTCTTTTTGTTATATTAAACTTGTCGTTCAAACTGTATTAAGATATTTTTGAAAGTTGAATGCACCATTCATGTGTGCCGCTCTTTCAAAAGCGTATGTTCACAAAGAAAATAAATATTTTATCTCACTAAACTAATGAATATCATAGTGTCATTACAATATACACAAAATATCAAAAATGGTTATACAATCTTTATTGTCATTTCATACCATTATAATTATTCTTATCTACATCAACATTATATTTTATTCTTGCGGATTTTAAATATAAATCAGAAGCCCATAAATTTCACTACAAAAAAAAAACTGATTATGTTTTCGCATTAGGATCAGATCAATGATTTTCCCAAAGCAATCTCTGCAGCTAATAATCTGTAACCCATCTCACAACGATCTTTCCGTACTTTCAGAGTTCACTAGTAAACTAAGGACTTGAGTAGCTACGTCAACATGCGTATAAAATTTCTCGTCCTTAAAATCAAATTCTACTTACAATTACTGGAGTGTGCAGAATGCGATACAAAAGTGTGGACGAAGTTAAGTGCTTAAGACGAAAATCTGCGGCTGGAAGCACAAGTTATCTAATTTGGAAGTCAGTGCTATTAGTGGATTATGAAAGTGTCCAATAATCTCCATTATTAAATGTCAAATAAGTTTATGCAGTTATTAAGAATTTTATTGTTACGTGAAATACGATAATACATATCAGATGCTATAATTATTGTTACTGTGATTATTAAAATTTAAATAACATTTCTTTGGGTGAAAGTAACTGCTAGAAAAATTACAGATCTTTAGATCTGTCGAGACTATCACATTGTCTTTCACAAAAAACTGTTGTATGCCCAAATATAGTCACAATATGTCTATATATGTGACTGGCTCTTTCAAAACCAGCCGTTTGCAGGAAAAATTCAAATTTTTAGTTGAGTTATTTTTAGATTCTGCATGAATTCTTCTGTAAAACAGTGTTTATTTGATGGAAATTGGTTGAGTACTATTAGCAATGTTATGAATACCTACTTCACTGGATATCAGCCATGTAGGTTTCGAGAAAACAGCTTCCAAAGATTTCAAAATCAATAGGTTATTAATATTTGTATTTTTAAAATAATTTCAATATATTTTTCAGTTTAGATTTAGTGATTGATACTTTAAAGAAATGTTCTTCAATATATCCTCTTTTATAGAATGCAAAAAAAACTAAAAATTTACAAAACTCTGATTCTCAAACAATTTGTTTGCTTGTGCGAAATAAAAAATTGCGACAAACTGTTTTATGCCCATATATAGTCATGATGTACTTATATATGGTCATGATGTGATGTCACAAGTTTTTGTCAAATAAAATTTGATAATGTGGAATGAGCTTCACCAGCTTTTACTGTATACATTAAAGGCATATACCAAGAAAGATTACTGGAGTTTATTTATTAGTATTTTTAGGAACTATGTTTTATTTGATAGATTTTTACAATAACATCAGAGGCATCAACATGCCCAGAGGATTCAAAGCACCTAACAGGCTTTGCAATCCTTAAGGCACTAAATAAATATGGTTTAAATTATTATTTTCTTAATACATTTTGATTTTGAGATATTTCTTCTTGGAATTCTTCTTAGCTTATTCCATATGAAATAATTGGGGGTAAAGTGTCAATGTTTGGGAAGGGTGGGGGAGGAACTGATACTGGTACTGGTACTTGAAGCCATCTGATTTCAGACATCCGGCAGCCATTGACATTATGTTGGCGTTAAAAGACTGCATATTGTGATGAGGGACCCATGTACAAACAATTACCAAACACAAAAAATATGGAAAACTGAATGCTATTTACAAAATATTCTATTTAATGCTTATGGGTGAAACTTTCTTTGATAAATTGGCTTCTATCAAGTTGATTTTCATCTATGACGCATTGAAGAATAGATTTGGTTTTCTTTCCTCTTGTTTTGCTGGTTATAAAGTGAAATGTGAGATTTTACATGGATCATCATTTGGTCTTCTTACATGACTGATCCATTTTGATTGTTGGTCTTGATAGAAGGTCCTAAGTGGCATGATGTTTGTTATTTGATATAAATTTTCGTTTGAAATCCTTTACCTCCAGTCATATTCATCTGTTGTTGATTGTTGGTGACTGTGTGAATACTAATATAATAGTGTTTATGAATATGTAGCTCTATCAACTTTGATTTTTAAACAAATTCAGGAATACTGTATTCAATGACAAGTTTATTCACTCTTTTTCTCAATCTAGTTGTTTTCATGTAAAACAGTGTTTAATGTTTTTCCACGATTTTGGAATACTATCCCTTCTGCAATTTGGAACATTTTCATATTCACGATGTCTGATTCTCAAAGTTGAATTTGTATATATATTTTATAAATTTTATTCTGGTGTGATAAATAAAATCATTTTTTAATTGAGTAAATTTTAATTAGATAATTTTAAATTACATATATATTGTAACTCAGTGTAAATTTGCAGAATACATTTTGTTTAAAACAGTGTTCATTTACTATTTTGGAATCCCTTCTCAGCTTACTGTTTTCAGTTGCAATTTTTGTTTTGTTAGGCTTGTTTTATAGAGAAAATAAATGAAATGATCACCACTGGAAAATGATTCAAAACTGCTGACCAAAGAAAAATTGCTGGCCTTGCTAAAATTGGGGACTATTTCATACTTTTTCGATGTGAGTTTGCGTCAATAAAAATATCATCACTCCTACATCATACTTCCTGAAAATTCCAATTCAAAAAATATCATCACTCCTACATCATACTTCCTGAAAATTCCAATTCAAACAATAATGACATTCAATAAAACAGTAGATGTGTTGTCAATCATTAAAGTATGACCAGGGAATTGAAAAAGTATGACACACTTCATCTCATTGTTGAATTCATCAGCCTAAACCAAGTACTAAGATCCCTAAAGGAAAAGGTTTGCGTCATCATCTAAACCTTAACAAATGTAAGCAAGGCAACTCAAAATTTTAAAAAATCAATTGATCTGTTTGCAGAAATGAAACACCAGTTACTAACGTCCATCATAAGCGCTATACAGATCCATAAGTATTCGCTTGGTCAGCAAACAGAGCAGCACCTGGTTTGCTCAGGCCGAAGGCAATTTATGGCTGTAGGCAGGAAACGTGTTAAAGGCCGCTGACCTAAGCTACCAGTAGGGAGCCCAGAGCCCAGATGTTCAGGGAAAGAAGACATGCTTCGCCTTGCGCCAGACTGCAGTTGTGCAATTTAATGTGCGTTAAATACTTCCGACTATATTTCCGTCAAGACTGCTGCTAAAAACCAAAACAAGGGCATGGTATGATTTTATTTGGTCGTTGAACTTAATTGAATTACTATCACACATATTTGCAAATGAATCTTTCATAAGTACTTAAATTATTAATGCAATAACATTCTTGCTAATAAAATGAAATCATAAAAATAATTAAATAATAATCCTTCGAGTACTGAATAAACTTTCAACAGAATTGTTTTAAAATAAAATTATTGTAGATGAACAGTGTTGTAATGTGAACAGTGTTTCATATGGAGAAAGAAAAAGAAAGTACTTGATTTCTGAAATGTCGAAAAAATAAATTGCTTAAATCCCAACACCTTTGAGAGCTTAAGAAATGCTTGTTGTGGTAACAGATTTCTCTTTTCAACTCATAAATACTTGCCCAAACAACTATCAAGTTGATCTCCAATCAATTACACGACAGTAAAATATGTTTGTTTGTTGTTTTACTCCTCCAGATCATCCCTCAAGAGTATTTCCTTGTCATATAATCCCTAAACTTTATAAAGGTCTTCTTAAGTGCTGAAAAGCTGCATCACATCATGATGTGGATGTGACTGCTATCACATTTCATGTCTACCAGTATCACATAATTGTGACCTGGTTTTAAGTACTGGTAGTAATAAACATCTGTGTTGGCATATCATGCACTATTGAAATGTAGGGGTTGGGAGAGGGGGGAGATGTGAATGTGAAGAGGAGATCTTTGATCAGGTGAGGCCTACCTCTCAAAATAAGGTGATTTTTAACTACTTCAGCATGATTTTGCTTCAAACATTTTCAATGGGGGACGACGACTAGGGAGGAAACAAATATTTTTTGGGGAGGTATGCGCCTTTCCCCCTCCACCAGATATGCCACTGAGCAGGTTTCACAAAATAGGCTCACTAACGAATAATATTCCTCTGTATTTTGAAAATACTACAAAATAAGAAAGGCAAGTTGACCAAGCTCTTGATCAAACCAAAAATGTTAACAACTTCCATTGCAATTCAAGCAATGAGACATGTGTATATTGGATTAACAGTGATACATAGGTTTTATCAATATGTCAGTCTTGCTGTTAGAAAATTGATAAGACTTACCACTTCCGTTGGACGGTAAAATTTTGCATCCACACGGACACGTATATTCCCTGTATATTTGTCCTTGCCAACTTCACTGACACCAGATCCTTCCCATCTAAAATTAAATTGGATAAAAAAAAGAACTGATTTATAATTAGTATGATACTATAGTTATGTCATTTAGCACCTTATATCCACCAGAAAAGGTGCGGAACACAATGCATGGCCATTACAATAAATTACATTAAGTGAGATATGTTCTAAAAATATGTTTTTATATTGTTAATATGTTTATACATCTATATTTCTTTACTATGTTGCTAAAAGATATGCGGGTTAAATGTGGTTTTTTTTAAATATAAAAATATCTTCGCTAAGGGTAGCTCTAACAGCAATACCGACTAAGACTTCACAACATACTAAATAAAAAAAACATTCCTGAAAGATAACACAAATAATTTGTAACATAATAATTAAAATTTATAATAATTTACCTTTTTAAATTTTCAACACAGAACAGTGATGTAACATCAATCTAATTTCTGTACAGTACACAGATTTACAAGTCTTACTACAATAAAGGAGCTCGATAATTAGCTGATATCTAATGCAAATTAATAATATTTCAAAAAAATTGCTCATTCTGCAAAGTGGAAAATATTCAAATTTGCATAATTATGCACCTGTAATATTCAAATTTGTTTAGTATTCAAATTAGTTTATGGTTGAAAATTTAAATATTTCAATTTGACTAAATTATTTTTTTTAATTTACATGTGATATGCATATAAACTACAGGTGCTTTGTATGCAAATTAGTAGTAAAAATGCTCACACGTCTGACTTCTTTCTAATTATACTGCAGATCCGCCAATCATTTTCCTTAAAACTCTTGGCTCACTTGACCCAAGCCAATCAAAAGTTTCACAACAATTTCAGAATTTTTCCAAAATGAAAACCGCAACCTCCAACACTATTTTAGCCTATACACTATATTCAAAACTTACAATATTTCTTCTCCTATGCATTTAAAAGCGGCCACAACGAACTGGCGTACACTATGAACCTCCCCGGTAGCAATCACAAAATCTTCTGGCTTGTCTTGTTGAAGCATCATCCACATCCCCTGTGTTGAGATAGAAAGAGACCAAAATCAATAGGACTTTGCCTAGTTCTTGTTTAGTCAGGGTTGTTGTTTCTGTTTTTCATGAAATTTGTGCATGAAGGAGTAAGCAACGAAAAGATTAAAGCCTAAGATTTTCATTTACATTGAAAATATACAAAGTGATAACCAGCAACTTGACAAGTGCCTAATTACTTCTGACACTCTCCCAGCCCCTCAGGCTATTTAGAAGAACGACTATTGCAATCAATATCCTGTTAACTAGGATCCTGAAATATTGATAATAACCGGGAATAGATGAAGAACCACGTAGCCTAGAGATTTGATAGTTATTACATCCGCACCGGTACACCTGGACAAGGTGCTAATAATGTTCCACAGAATAAGTAAAAAAATATCACACATAATGTAGGTCCGTCAAAATACTGGTGTGACAGTTCAAACATTCACAATATTGTAAAGCATTTCTGTATTTAACTCATTTTATTATCAAATATAAATATACAAGGTAAAATAGCACACATCATTTTTTTTTTTTTGTAAATATGATAAAGGACACAAATAGTGACCATAATAATTGTCAATGTAGATCTCTATTGTTTCCAAACAGAACATCACTGATAACAAAACATTCAATGCCTTATCAAGATTCAAGATTTATTTGTTGGTCAAACACAAGTAATAAAAAGAAAATGGTTGAAACTCTGGTTGGTTATACATGCAGAACATTATCTATATTATTTAAATGAATTTTAAAAGATCACTTTTATTTTAAATATCAAAAATATACAATGTATATAAAATACATATAATTTTGTTTGCGAATAAATAAAATGAAACACACATAAATACTCCCTACACAAAGGGTAACATACATTAAAAAGATTACGACACGACAACAACATACCATTGCATAGTTTGTATTCTTCAACACTGCACGCATCTGTACGTTGTCATTGTCGTGTCTAGTGTAAATGTGGCTTAACACAGG